GCCAAGTATGCTAATTACGTGGTTCAGGGCAGGATTAAGGAGTGGTCAGCTCCTAAAGGAACATACAGTTTCTGTACCTTAGACACAAGCATCATTCACTACTGGCATGGCCCGGTGGGGAGCGGAGGTAGTGCTTCTAAGGGATGTGTTTTTGGCCTGCTACATCTATAAGATAGCCTCAGGAGTCAATAGTATCAGTACAGGATATTTCTATCTGTAGGGAAGTTCTGCAGGGTCAACTTGTTCTCGTAACCGGGAGAGACAGTTTGCCTCACTGGGGCCCACTCATGGGTTACTGCCAAAGATAGGATCTTTGGGCTGGGGAAAGGCATGGCCCTAGGGCTGGGGTCCAAGCAACCCATCATCATCTATGCCTCCACATTTACCTAGTACATGTTTTATATAGCCTTTCATATGCTCATATATCACTTTCTCTAAGTTCACTCTCCCATCTCCCAAGTTCCTGGCTACTTCTCCCCTCCAAATTCTAAAGCAACCTGAGGGGTTTCTAATGCTATGGCTTACAACCCTCATCAGGTGTGCTCCAGTATCAATTAACCATTTAACATCTCCCCTGACATCCGTTAATCAACGAACCAATTAGCTTTTACAAAGAGATATTTACTGAGAAGGTATAGTCCCCCCAAAAGTCTGAAACCCACTGTCACACAAATACATATAGAGTCCAATGGAAGACTTAGCTTAGCCCTCAGCACAGCACCTAGCACACAGTAAGCACTTAAAAAATGTTTATTGTTTGATTGTCTTTATCTTGAAGCCATTTCAATCCCTCAAGATTAAACCTTCCCTTGTGACAAAGAAAAACATAAACATACAATCTAGTGACTGGGTCTGGCAATGCATATCATATTCTTCTCAAGTAATCCCCCTCCTCAGTATCCTGAAGCAGTATAACCTTACAAGTTCTTCCCTCTTTTATTAAATCATTCAATAATCATTCAATTATTCAATATTAAATCATTCCATAAATCAATTAAGTCATTCAATCAATCATTTGTTATATGCCAGCACTCTGCTGAGCACTGGTAGTAAGAAAAAAAAAGACCCTGCCCTCAAAGAGCTCAGTAATTAGACAACAAACAAACAACTATGTACATACAAGATACACAGAGGGTAAATTGGAAGAATCCTAGAAGCAAGGAGGTAACAGTGAGGGACCCACACTTTGTTCAATCACTGACAATGTGACTTCTTTTTTAATAATTTTAAGTTCAAAACTAGAACAAAATGAGACACCTGTAGATCATTTGAAAGTTAATAAAAAGAGACTGACCTAGCCATAGCAGGATAAGCACTGAGAACCACTCGAGTTGATTCATCTAAGAACAGCTCCCTGGCCTGAGTTATCATCATGATCCACCAGGTAAACATCGGGGAAGCCCTTGACCTCCTTGTGGCTGCTTTGAATTAGAGTAATGAGGATGTGACCTCAAGAGGGTGACAGTACCTTGAGCCAGGCAAGTCTAGGAAAATGTCCCAGTACCTTTTAAGGAAAAATTAAGTCTAATTTTAAGGAAAATGGGTCTAATTTGCATGTGAGGGGAAGGGGGGTTAGGAAATTGCACCCACCCTAAGCTGCCTCACAGAACACTGGAAGACATGGATGAGTGCAAACTCTTTGAGCGGGAGATTTTCTTTGTCTTTGTATCCTGGTCTTATTTTTTTGTTCTTTGTTGTTTTGGGTCCTAATGAAGGTAGTCCCGGTTAGTCAATCAATAATCCACTCTGCATTCAACTGTTAACCTAATTTTAGAGTTGCCCCTGGGCATTTACTGTGGCAGTTGTTTGGTCATTTCTATCTTACTGAATCTTCATCACCCCATTTGGGGTGTTCTTGGCAAAGATCCTGGAGTGGGCTGCCATTTCCTTCTCTAGCTCCCTTTACAGAGGAGGAAACTGAGGCAGAGTTAAGTGACTTGCCCAGGGCCACAGCTAGTAAGGGTCTGAAGAGAGGTTTGAACTCCAGAAGGTGAGTCTTCCAGACCCCAACTGGCACTTTACCTAGTGTGCAACTGCAAAGAGGATGAGCAGATCTGGACAAGCTACACGAGGGAACAAGGGCACAAAACTGAAGCTGGGGTGTTTGCCGGAGGAAGGGAGCTAGGAATAGCACAAAGAGACCTGGCACTGAAGCAGCTGGACTGTGCAGTGGCTACAGAATGGGGCCTGGTGTCAGGAAGACCGAGTTCAAATGCCACCTCAAACACTTACTAGATGTATGAACATGGACAAGTCACACAACCCCTTCCCCCCCCTCATTTTCTTCATCTGTAAAATGTTGATAATAATAGCACCTGCCTCCTACAGCGGCTGTGAGGATCAAATGAGACAATAATTGTAAAGCACTTAGCACAGTGCCTGGCATGTAGGAAGTACTGTATCAGTGTTAATTATCATTACTATTCAAATCGGACCTCGTACACATAATAGCTTTGTGACCCTGCATAAGTCACTTAACCTCTGTTTCCTCATTTGTAAAATGGGAATGGGGCAAGCGAGGTGAATAGAGCACAGGGCCTGGAGTCAGGAAGGCCTCAGCTCAAAACTGACCTCAGACTAGCTATGGGATCCTGGGCAAGTTAGCCTCAGTTTCCTCATCTGTAAAACAGGGATAACAATAGCACCTACCTCCCAGGGGTGTTGTAAGGATTAATGAGATAAGGGTACCTAGTAAGCACTATATACATTTATTATCATTATTATTATTATCATCTGAACTGGGAGAGCTATGATTAGGAGTCAGCGAGCATTGCCTTAACCTTACAAGGAACCAGAGAAACCACCTGGTTCCTTTCAGTCCATTTTTTACAGATAAACTGAGGCCCGGCCCAGCGAAGTGCCTAGGCCAAGGTCACGTGGGCAGTAAGCAGTTTGGGCAGAGGGGAAGGGAGGGGGGGAAGGGAGGAGCCGGGGCGCCGGGGCCAGACAGGGGCAGCGCTAGGTGGGCGAGGATCCCACGCTGGGCCTCCGAGAGGCGGGGCGGGGGGACGGGACGGGACGGGAGGCGCGCCTGCCTTGGGGTGGCTGGGAGGGCTGTGGAGGCCAAGGCCGCGGGGCCCGTACCTTCCCAGGAGAACTCTCCTCCCGGCTCCCGCTTTAGGAACTTGTACCAGAAAGTGTCGGGGACGCCGGGCCCCGCCCCCTCGGGCCGCGGCTGCTGCTGCTCCCGGGCTTCCGGCGGCGGCTCCCCGGCCAGCTCCACCTCCGCGAGCCAGAGGCCCGGCTCCTGCAGCCCGCGCGCCCCGTCGGGCCCGGCGCCGCCGCCCGCCCGCTTCATGGGCACGGCCCTCTGAGGCTCCCAGCGCCCCAGCTCGGGCCGGGAGCCCACCAGCAGCAACTGCGGACGGCCCTGGGCCACGCTGGGAGGCACCACCACCCCGAAACGGAACAGCATCGCCGCGGGGCCCCTGGCAGGCGGGCCCCGGAGGGACCAGCTCCGGCCCTTCCTCCTGCTCCTCCTCCTCTCCTACGCCGCAGCGACCCCCAGGCCCAGGCCGGCACCGACGCTGTGCGGGGCTTCGCACACAGCGGGGTAAATGTCAGCCGGGGATCCTGTTACCACCTGGCGCTGCTGGGGGCGGGGCGGGGCTGGGTGGGGGGCGGGAGCGAGCGAGCGCTGCGGGGACCGAGCCGACCCCCTCACCACCACCCTGGTCCACGTGGAATAATTGCGGGGGCATCCTCTGCCCCTCCCACGCAGGAGCCCTTTCTCGTCCATCCACTTGCGAGGGAAACGTAGCTGCCTCTCGCGGTGGGTGTGGAGGCCTCCGCCATTAGATTGGGGAGACGTCCTAAAGTAGCTATAAATGCTACTGTCTGGCCATGGCCTTCTTTCTAACCAGGTTACATTATATATATATATGCTGTAACAGCTATAAATGCTATTATATGCCTGTGAGCTTTCTAACTGGTTTGAATGTATGTTGTTTTTAACCCTTTTTAACCTGGTTGTACTACATATATGTTATAATGTCTATAAATGCTATTCTGGCTGTGAGCTTTCTAACTGGTTTGCATATATGCTGTAATAGCTATAAATCCTATTATCTGGCTGTGAATTCTTTTCTAACCTGGTTGTATTGAATATATGCTCTAATGTCTATATATGCTATTATCTGGCTGTGAGCTCCTTTCTAACTGAGTTTTACATATATAGATATGCTATAATCACTACAAATGCTATTATCTAGCTGTTAACTTTTTAACTGGGTGGTCAAAGTGGAACATAATTTTTAAAAGGGTGTATATTTTCCCTTTTTTACTTTAGTTTTGTTGTTGTTGTTTTTTAACGTGAGACAACGTGCTACTTAGGATCATTTGCCCTCTAGCTGGTTGTTGATAATTACTATTACTAGGTTAAAGTCACTCAGTCAATACGCGTTTATTAAGTGCCTGCTATGTTGGTATCTGTGCTTAGTGCACAAGTCCCTCTCTTAAGGAGCTTACAGGCTAATGGTGGAGACCCCATGCAAACAACTATGTACAAAGTAGCTCTATGCAGGATAAACTGAAGGTAATCAGTAGAAGGAAGGGACTAACATTAAGGGAAATAGGGAAAAGTTTCTAGTAGAAGATGGCATTTTAGCTGAGACTTGAAGGAAGCCAGGAGGTTAGAAATGAGAAGAGAGAGTACTCCAGGCATGAGGAACAGATGAGAGATGGAGTTTTTTCCTGAAAGGAACACCAAGGCAGTTTACGTCACTGGATAGCAAAGATGGTGGCAGGAGTAAAGGGTAAAAAGACTACTTTTTAACCAACCTAACAGTTCAAAGCGCAAAAAATACCAATTCAGATTTTTGTATGGGTGTAGGCTTTTTGTTTTTAATTAAGAGACCCTTCAAATTGTTTTTTTAGATTTAGTTATTTTTAAAAGTATCGAAATGGCTGTAAGACAATGTATAACCCATGTCTTTATAATTTGATCCTACTTCTTTTTGGTTAAAACTGATAACTCTTATTTTTTTCCACTTAAGAAACAACTTGAAGCAGCTTCAACCTGACCTATTCAATGGACATTGTTGATGCAGAGAAAATGCAAAGTGAATGCCCTGCAGAGTTTCACAAATATAGTTCCAGTCTACCTTCTTCTGCCTATATGATTCTCAGCCCAACTTGTCCATCTACAATGTCTGTTTCAGGTATATGAACTGATGTACTGATTCAGTTGCCTGGCCATCTAACTGCATATCTTATTCTGAACAATAGGCATTTTTCATCCTTTTTTTCCCCCCTGTATGGAAGGAAGCTCAATAATGTTCTGGGTCTTGATGTAATCAACACAGTATTCTCTACAAACAGGAACATCGGAGGACCTCACCATCCACTTTTACTCTGTATAGAACATCTTCCATGACAGTGACATATACCATTGGTGAATATCCCTCTTACGTTTTATGCTTTGTTTGATGTTCATAATTGAAGTGTTGTTTATCAGCGTATCTCTGATTGCATTCAAGGAATCTTGTATTACGTTTTATGCTTTGTTTGATGTTCATAATTGAAGTGTTGTTTATCAGCATATCTCTGATTGCATTCAAGGAATCTTGTATTAACATTCTTATGAGAGACTGCTCATTGGAAGAGAGCCCTTAAGTAGTGATGTTCTAATCTGTGAAGTCAAAAGCTTCTTTATTGTCCAAAAAAACCCTAACTACAGTGGAATCTTGTTGTCTCTTACCTTACAGGCAACTGGGTGACAAGATATGTGGTGAATGCTGACAGGTTCATAGTTGTAAAGTTCTCGTGATATGTGTGTGGATCATTCCTGCAAAGACCTCATAGCAGTAGTGTGTGTTTCTTCCTCTTTTGGTTCATCTCATTTTGTCCTTCCTTGTGACTTGAATTGGATTTTTGTTTGGCGTTGAGGGACCCAAGGGGCCGTATACTTTGGGGGTGAGGGTGTTAGTCATGGAGTCGAGAGAGAGTGAGAGTGGTGCAGAGGCTGAAGAAGTGAAGAAAGAGGGGCAGCTGGCCTCGGAGGCCAAAGTCCACTTCAAAGTGACACGGTTCATCATGGAGGCTGGTGTCAAGCTGGGGATGCAATCCATTCCAATTGCCACAGCCTGCACCATTTACCATAAATTTTTCTGCGAGACCAAATTAGATGCATATGACCCTTACCTCATCGCCATGTCAGCCATCTACTTGGCAGGTAAAGTGGAGGAGCAACACCTCAGGACGAGAGACATCATCAATGTCTCTCACAGATATTTAAATCCCAAGAGTGAACCTTTGGAGTTAGACTCCTGGTTCTGGGAACTGAGGGACAGCATTGTTCAGTGTGAATTACTTATGTTGAGAGTTTTGCATTTCCGGGTCTCCTTCCAGCATCCCCACAAATATCTGCTCCACTACCTTATTTCTTTAAAGAATTGGATGAACCGTCATAGCTGGGAGAGGACTCCCGTCTCCCTGGCAGCCTGGGCTCTGCTTCGAGACAGCTATCACGGAGCATTGTGCCTTCATTATCCCGCCCAGCACATAGCTGTAGCAGTACTCTATCTTGCCTTGCAGTGCTACGGAGTGGAGGTACCTGCTGATTCTGAGGCAGAAAAGCCATGGTGGCAGGTCTTTAGTGAAGACCTCACCAAGCCAGTCATTGATAATATTGTGTCTGACCTGATTCAGATTTATACAATGGACACAGAAATCCCTTAATTGCTCTAGGGCCATCCAAGGAGGAGCAAATATTTGCTTTGTCTGAGGGCTAGATTTGACCCAATAAAATGGGTCCCAACTTCAAAAAGTTGACAAGTCACAGGGACCAGCTTTGCATTAGCAAAGGGGAAAGAACTAAACATGGGTTGCTTTCTGATTGCTCTTTGGTATGTATGTGGTGGCTCCCTAAGCAGGTTTGGAGCCCATGTTTGGATATGAATACATCCATGTTGAAAAAGGAATGTACTGGGATTCAACTGCCTTTTGCACCTTAGGAATTTTTTAAAGATGAACCTTTTCAATTCGGTAAAAGCTGTATTTAGACATCTCTTCATTAAAACAAAAGCCAAAATAGAATATTTGATTGTACCCTTTGGGATATCTTTTCAAGCTATACATAAGCTTAACCTTCCAACATAAATGAATAGTATTTTATTTTACATAATAAAAGATAAAATGATTTTTGTAAAGATCTGAAAATAGGCATATAGTTTAAGAGCTTTCAATGTTCTGTGGACCACATTGGGGATAGGGGGTGATATTAGCCATAATTTTTTTTTCCATTTTGTGTTACCTTCCTCTCCCTGAAATATATTATAACACAAAATGTTCTTCAAAGAATCCTTTATGTTCAAAATCTTGGAATGCCTTGATCTCTAAAGAATCAAAGTTTCCCAGTAAACCTGGGGGCAAATAAGAGGTCGGTAGTGGGGAAAAGGATGCCTATTTCCGCTGACGACTGTGTGCAAAGAATAGTGTAAAAGAGAAAACTGTGATGGGCCAGTCACGTGGGGAGTGACAGAAAGACAACACAAGTGATGGACTGGTACCCACAAGATGTAAAAAAACAGAGAAAGACCTCTAGCATGCTAGGTAGCCATGTAGAGAATCTCTATAAGAGACCCAGGGAAAGAATCAGAGGAAGAGACAGCAGAGATGGGTTACTATCAGCACCAGTACAGGGAATGCCCTCATGGATGAGGTCATGGATCGATTGAAGTGTTGGGAGAGTAGGAAAACACTTACAGTTAAGGAACCAGGGCCTTATTGCCAACAGTTGGCCAAAAGAAACAATTCATCTTAAGATTTTCACTTATGTCATTTCCAGAACAAATTTGCTGTTTATATATTAAACCCATTTGTTGGTTTCCTAATAAAATAATTTTTTCATGGTTCTGTTCTTGTATTTGATTTCTGTTCTTTTATATGACTTAACGTACATTTTACACAAACCTCTCATGGAAACTAAACATGAACACACACACAAAGACGTGTTATTAGATATGTATGAACAACAACCCAGGAAAAAGGACACAAACTGGGGTGGAGTAAATAAACTTGGTTTCATACATTCAAAGTATCATGAAGCAGAACTGAAAGAATTCTAATAACTTAAGCTATATAAAGTTCTCAGCCTCTCCTGGGAGCAGTTACTGGTAAAACAATATATTTTACCCTGAAATACAGATCCTCCAAGAAAAGCTTGGTTGGTTGCTAAGCAAAGGGGCAAACCTTAAGAACAGTGAGCAAGAGTAGAAAAACAAGTGCACCTTTAGTAGCAAAACAGGCAGACTTGAAGTAACCTTGTGGCTTTGAGTTAAGATTGTATTTGGTTATTAAATGTTATAATAATAGTTAGTGAAAGGCTATTAGAAGGTCATTATTGCAGAAGGGTATAGCATACACATTCTGGGGCAAAAAAGATAATCTAGACTAGACCTGTACAACTTGGCAGTAAGTAGGGGCCAGAATTAAAATGAGCTAAACTTCTTCAGGCCATAGACAGGTTTTTGCTGATTTTCAAAGTAAATGTAACTAGAGACAGAATGAGGATGGTTGGTTGCCATGGATCCCGTGACAAACTGTGCAGTGGACGCCAGCTGAAATCCTTTGGCAGGCCGTATGTTGTACAGGCCTGATCTAGACCCTTCATGTCTTCAGGAAAACAAGAGTTTCACTTACATCACTTCTTGTGGGGGGGGAAAGGATTGCTATTTGTATAGAAAATCCCTTACATTCCTGTAGAGCTCTGATTCATTTGTTTGTGTATTAGTATACTTTTTAACATGTGTAAACCTTCGGACCAGAGCTAGCCTCACTTTTTTTCCCCTTTTTTAAAAATTGGGGTCCTCTCCATCCTATGGATCAAATAGTTTCCATAAGAAAAAAATAGCTATTCACTTTTGATCATAGAATGGACAGGCAATTTTTCTGTCCCCTCAAAGTAGCTTGCATTTCAGTAGTTTTTATTTAGTAGGAATGTGTGGGCTATACAGCAACTAAGGAGGAAATACATGGCATTTGATTTTGTGGTTTATATTTAAATATACAGTATTTCTAATGATCTCATTATACCCAGATAAAATTTAGGCCAATTTTGGAAGAGAAGTATGTCCAAAGAGCAATCATATCTAGATCAGGAAAAATGTTTCAATACTGCTTTACAGCTTTATTGTCAGTCATATATATTATCTAAAAGTTTTAGAACTAGTTGCCATTGAAATGATAATAAAAATTATATTCTAGTAAAGAAAATCACTTGTAGAACAAAGGAGGAAAACCCATCCTATTTCAGTTATTTGCTGCTAACTCTTAACTGAGGAAGAATCTGATGTATCTTCTATTACTAAAATAATTTTACCATTAAAAACAACAGAACAGACAGATTTTAACTAAGTCAATAGTCATGTACCATGATGTATATGTATGGAATATACTTGACCTCAGATGTATAGTGGAGACAGTGCTAGACTGGAATCAAGAGATGCTTAGGTTCAAATCCCCCACAAAACTTGGTCACTGTGTCTATAGGCAGGTCACTTAACCCCTGTGGCTCTCAGGTTCCTAGGTGGCTCAGTGGATAGAGTGGAGTCAGGAAGACTCATCTTTCTGAGTTCAAATCTGGCTTCAGATACTTACCAGCTGTGGGACCCGGGGCAAGTCACTGAGCCCCGACTGCCCCAGTTTCTTCATCTGTAAAACAAGCTGGACAAGGAAATGGCAAACCATTTCACCATTTTTGCCAGGAAAATCCTAAATGGGGTCATAAAGAATTGGACACAATTGAAACAACTGAAGAACACAACTAGCGCAGTGCCTGGCACACAGTAAGTACTATATAAGCACTAGCTATTATTATATGATGGAAATTCAGGTTTTAAAAGCTAAGATTAAGAATTTACCTCTTCTAGAAACTAATGCCATTTGCACCTTTTATACTCCACGTGAATTTTGATATATCACAAAGGTCATTCATTAAAAAGCCATTATTTAGAGAGTCTTTGATATTAGATTCATGAAACTATGCTGATAAGCAAAATGATGAGAATCGACTGAGCAAGCATAGTCACAGTTCTGATAGTAAGTTTTGTTTGTTTTTCCCAAAGATCTAACTAAATTTTAATTGAAATTCTACCACTAGAGTACTGGATTACACCCTAAATTTGATATTTCTTGAAGAATGGGAAATGCATTCAAATTTAAATGTATAAGACTTCAATTCAAATGGAAATTCTCCAGTGTCCCCACAAGGAAAGATATTACTTGCTTCTCTGGTAATTTGTTTTCTGCTGCAATCTTTCACTCCTTGCTGATTTGCCATAATTCTCTCTTTGTAATATTATTTTGCATATTTATGCCACCTTACATCCAAGAAGCTCAAAGTGCTCTATAAGTGTAATTTTATTAATTTTCACAACATTCTTAAAAGTTAAATAGGTATTATTTCCAGTTTTCAAGTAGAAAAAATATTGCAACAGACATCTAAATACAGCTAGGTGGCACAGTTGATACAGTGCTGGGCCTAAAGTCAGGAAGACTCTTCAGTATTTGGCTTCAGACAGTTAATAGCTATGTGACCCTGGGCAAGTCACTTAACCCTGTTTTCCTCAGTTTCCTCATTTGTAAAATGAGCTGGAAAAGGAAATGGCAAACCACTCCAGTCTTTGCCAAGAAAACTCCAAATGGGGTCATAAAAAGTTAGATACACCTGAAACGACTGAAAAACAACAGACATCTCAGGGACTCCAATTATCTGAACCTGACATAAAAAGTTAGATACACCTGAAACGACTGAAAAACAACAGACATCTCAGGGACTCCAATTATCTGAACCTGACACCTTCCCTATACTGCAAACTTGAGGAGTCAAAAGATTTAGACCTGGAAGGAGCCATGGAGATTAACTGGTCCAAGCCTCTCATTTTATCAACATACACACTCAAGGCAAGTGAAGCTCTATGGTATTTCATTTTCCTAATCTTTGGAATAATTATAGCTTTGTCACTAAATTAGGATACCCTTTATTTAACCCAGCAATACCCCTACTAGGTCTCTACACCCAAAAATATCAAAGAAAGAGCAAAAAAGACTCATCTGTACAAAAATACTTACAGCATCTCTTTTTGGACTGGCAATGAATTAAACAAAAGGAGGTGCCCATCAGCTGGGGAATAGCTGAACACGTTATGATGTACAAATGTAACGAAACACTTGTGCAGTAAGAAATGAGAAAAGGGGTGATTTCAGTGATATCTGGGGAGACTTACAATAAACTGAGTATGCAGAGTGAAGTAAGCAGAATTAGGAAAACAATTTATACAATACAACATTATAAAAAAAACCAAACAACTTTTTAAAACCTTAAGAACTTTGATCAAAGCAATGATCAACTAAGTTTCCAGAGTACCGATGAACTTTGCTATCCACCTCCTGACAGAGAAGGGATAGATTCAAGTTGCAGAATGAGACACATTTCTGAACAAGGATAATTTATTTTGTTTGATTATGTCTATCTGTTGCAAGGGTTTTCTTCCTTTTTAATTGGGGTGGGAAAGGAAATAAATGCTTGTTGACTGAAGAACTAAATCAAATTTTAAGAAAGCAAAAGGAATCTTTGAAAAAGAATCATGAAATCTCTTCAGGGCAGAAAGCTATAGGAGGAATCCCCAAACTCAAACTGCTAATCCATTCCACAGAAAATTCCCATTGTTAGGGGCAGCTAGATGTCAGCAGTGGATAGAGCACCGCCCCTGGAGTTAGGAGGACCTGAGTTCAAATCTACCTTCAGACACTTGACACTTAATAGCTGTGTGACCCTGGGCAAATCACTTAACCCCACTGCCTAACCATAATAATTTAAAAAAATAAATAAATAAAAGAAAAAGAAAGAAAATTTCCATTGCTATATACAAAATCCAGGGAGTAACCTGGAACTGCAGGGATGGTTTGTAACCATCTCTGGGGCCATTGGTAACTTAATAAATAAATGATGACTATAAATAAATAGCTAATGTTTATATAGCATTTACTTTGTGCTAAGCACTTTACAGTTATTATCTCATTTGATCCACACAACTGCAAGGTAGGTACTATCATTTCCCCCATTTTGCAGATAAGGAAACTGAGGCATACAAAGTTAAGTGACTTACCCAAGGCCACACACCAAGCATCTGAGGCTGGATTTGAACTCTGGTCTTCCTGACTTCAGGCCCAGCACTCTAACCACTGGGCAACCTAGCTGCCTCGTATGATAACTCATTTATGTACACTATAGTACTATATTTTTAATGTTTCCTAATAATAACTGACATATCAAACTTTACATAAGTTAATTTGAGACTGGCCAATGAAGATCCAGATCTTAGAGCAAGTACATATGCTTTTGATGATTCATGCGGAGGTTTGTTGAGCTTGCTTTCCAAAGTGCGTGATAGAGGGGCGCTGACTCCGGCCCTGGCCCTTCCCAGCTCAGCTTGTTCTAGGTATTCTCTCCTTATCTACTATCAGCTTACTCCTTGGTGACAAAAAGCCTTTAACTTGTTGCATGTATACAAAAAGACTCAAACAGCTTTCAAATGAGAAGGAAGAAATGCCGTGGATCTTCTGGTGAGGAGAGGCAGGTAGGTAGCTGCAGCAGCCGCAAACCAGTAGCTGTGACTGCATGGTGCCTATGTTTCTCCTGTCCTTATTGCATCTCTTCTTCAGATTTTAAGTGAATGAGTATCAGAGGTAGAATGGATCAGACTGTAGCCCTGTGAATTTCAAAAAGATGGAAAAACCACTAGAGGCTCAGCAGCTGGAATCCATAAGAATAATACAGCAGCCGTAGCAGCTGAGTCCGTGAGGAGCCAGTTCTGAGGAACAACGTGATTGAACCAGCCCCCAAATCAAGCAAC